AGGCTGAGGCAGGAAAATGGCGTGAACCCGGGAGGCGGAGCTTGCAGTGAGCTGAGATCCGGCCACTGCATTCCAGCCTGGGCAACAGAGGGAGACTCTGTCTCAAAAAAAAAAAAAAAAAAAAAAAAAAAAAAAACATCGTGTGGAATGCTTAGCTCATCCGGCCCTCTCTTTTGCTAATGGTCAATGCACATCATCTCACTTCAGATGGAATGTGTTTCACTCTAGAAGTGGGAGGTGAGCAGGCAATGGGAACGAGCATCGTGGACAGTCAATGAGACAGCATGGGCCCAAGAGGCAGGTACGATTTACAGCTGAGCCTCCAGGAACCTGATATGCACGAGGCTTATAGATGTGAGTTTTCTCTGATCCTCAAGGACATTGGAAATTAAAGGGCAGACAACTCTGGTATTTAACTAAAGAAGAACATAAAACTAGTGTTTGAGCCTGGCCAGTCATAGAAGAAAAGCTGCTTCCGGCTGCCCTGGCTCAGGCCCACCTCCCACCTGCACACAGTTCCCAGAGCAGAGCCTGAGGCGCCCAGCAGACCCTACTGTTCTCCCACCATGGGTTCCCCAATGCTCTACTGAGGAAACAGAAGTCGTCTCCTCCAGAAAGGCCTTCCACGTCATGCTTCCCCTCACTCTGTCCTCTCTGCACCTCTGTGCAGCCTCTCTTGTCATCGTTGAGAGCCAAGAGGTGATAGGATCCAGTAATGTCACTTCTTAGCCAAGCTGGCAAGAGCGGCCCAGCAACTTGCCCAATGCTTTCAAGCTGTGGTTGGTGAGACTCCAAAAGTCAAGTCACTCCAAGTGAAGATTCCACCTCCCTCTCCTTTTTCTCCCTGAACCAGCCAGGAACCTCCTCCTTCACATCGGTACCTCCCACCTTGACATTTTGAATCAGCCAACAGGCCAACTGGAAGACACCTGACCACAGAACCCAACTGGGTAAAAGTCACTGCAATCAGCAAAGGAAAACCAGGAGTGCTTCCTGCTTCTGGAAAGGCCCCAGCTGTGGAGGGAGAGGAGACAGCAAGAAGGGTAACTGACAGGCAGATGTCACCTGTGCTCTAGGAAATGCGGAAAAGAAGAGAAATGGAGGAATGGGGAAAACTTCTGTTTCAGGCTAGGTAAGGACCCTCTGGATATCAAGGTGGCAATGAATGCGTGTGATGAAGCTCAGGCAGTGATGGGGGCCGGAAAGGCAGATTTGGGAGTCAAGTGTGGACATGTGCAGTTGAAGTGGAAGTGAAAGCACATTGCTCGGCCGGATGTGGTGACTCACCCCTATATCCCAGCACTTTGGGAGGCCAAGGCAGGTGGATCACTTGAGGTCGGGGGTCCAAGACCAGCCTGGCCAACATGCTGAAACCCTGTAGCTACTAAAAATACAAAATTTTGCCGGGCGTGGTGGCACAGGCCTGTAGTCCCAGTTACTCAGGAAGCTGAGGCAGGAGAATCGCTTGAACCCGGGAGGCAGAGGTTGCGGTGAGTCAAGATCATGCCACTGCACTTCAGCCTGGCGACGGAGCAAGACTCTGTCAAAAAAAAAAAGAAAGAAAAGGAAGGAAGGGAGGGAGGGAGGGAGGAAGGGAAGGGAGGGAGGGAGGAAAGGAAGGAAGGAAGGAAGGAAGGAAGGGAGGGAGGGAGGGAGGGAGGGAGGGAGGAAGGAAGGGAGGAAGGAAGGAAGGAAGGAAGGAAGGAAAGAAAGGGGAAGGGAAGGGAGGAAGGAAAGAGGGGAAGGGAAGGGAGGAAGAAAAGAAGGGAAAGAAAGAAAGAGAGAAAGGGAGAGAGAGAGGAAGGAAGGAAGGAGAAAGAAAGAAAGAAAGAAAGAGAAAGAAAGAAAGAAAGAGAAAGAAGGAAGGAAAGAAAGAAAGAAAGAAAGAAAGAAAGAAAGAAAGAAAGAAAGAAAGAAAGAAAAAGAGAAAGGAAGAAAGAAAAGCGGGCACATAGCTGTATGAATATTTGTGAAATTTGGGGTTGTCTTTGTTTTCCTCTTTCAAAATTGTACCCAGACTTCTTCCTCCCCCACGCACACACCCAAAGCAATGCACATGTCCACCTACACCTCTTCCCTGCTGTTTTCCCCACTAGGCCAATGGCATCTCTCTTCACCTCAGGCCTCCACTAGGCAGCCTCATCTCTCTCTCCGTGGCCCCCGCGATCCTCCCTGCTGCCACTTCTTAACTCAGGCTCCCGCCATCTCCTGAAGTCATGTCCTGACAGGTCTCCATTATCCAATCTCTCCACTAATGCAATCCTGATTCTACATAATTGCTAGAGCTGTCTTTCCAAAGACAAATACGGTCATGTCACTCCCCTGAGTACGAGGCTTCAATGAATCTGCATTGCCCTCTGGGAGAAAGCCCAAGGTCCCCAAGGTGATGAATACACCGCTTCACACACCGGCCCTGCTGACTGTTCCAGCTCCAAGTCCTGCCATGCCTCAGCGGCCCCTTACACCGCAGACTCAGGGAGCTCCTCACTTTCTCAAACATGGCAGACTCTTTAATGTCTTCGTGTGTGTGTGTGTGTCTGTGTGTGGGTGTGTCTGTGTGTGTGTGTGTGTGGATTTTCTCCCTCCAATGCCTGGTGAACTCCTACTCATTCATTAAAGTCCAACAAAAATGTCACTCAAATGGAATCCTTCCCAACCTGCTGCCTGCCCCTCAAAACACAACTATCACTACTTTCTCTGGGTTTTCATAATGTATTACTTCCAACAATAGATGTCTACTGAACTACTACTTGTGTACCACGTTTTGTGGCTATAGCTTTATTCTTGGGCTTGCAGCATTACATTATATTTATTTGGCTATTTAACTTTTTCTTTCGCCAGACAGGGAGCTGTCTTGATGAAAGAGGTGATCAGAACACGGGAACTACCTTTTGCATTTCTTTGCCTCTGGTGTGTAGCACCATTTGTGGCGTAGAGTAGGTTAATGGAATTACTTACTGAAAGTGAAGATACAGGGAATGGGGAGCTGAGGAAGAAAAGGAGGAAAGAAGAAAATCTGGTAAAGTTCAAGGAGAAGAGAGAAGAGTAGGGTGGGAGCCCAGAGATGGGAGCAAATGAGGAAAAATGAGAAAGAGGAGAAACAGAAAGGTGTACCACTTCTCCCAGCACCACCAAAATACGTGTGTGTGCACGTGTGTGTAGGTGGGTGGGCAGGTTTGGATGTGAGTTGGTGTCCATACATACACACAAGGCAAGCTGTGAAAAAAAAGCTTTCAACATTTGAAGCTTCAATGCTAATTAAAATGCTTTCCATGTAAGTGCACAAGGCAACATCTATCCCCACCCTCTCCCTCTTTCTCTCCCACCACGTGGCTGCTCTAAACCTCACTCTCTTCCTAAGCCCTCAGGCCTTCTTACTTTCAGCATCATCTTTTGAGGGAATCAGAGGACACCTTCACATGCTTAAAGAGTTTTACACAGGGTAAAACACTCCTTTGTAAGTCACTAAATATGGCTAAATTATAGACATTTTGAATTCCTCCATAATAGAAGGCTGTTTTCGTGAAGAAAAAAAACAAACATCCCAAAAGAAAGCAGTCTGAATGAAGATAACATGGTCCACTGGGTTAGGGAGGATGCTGAACTGTATCAGCACGTCCCACCCCACCCCATGGACCCAGACTGAACTGTCAGCCCTGCCTCCAGACAACCCCGGGACTTGGTCATGTCATGCCCAGATCCTGCTCTTCAGGAGACAGTGGCATTCGATGTGACATAAAGAGAACAGTGGATGAGAACCTACATTCTGGCCCTGAATCTCCTGCCAACCAGCTGTGTGACTTTGGTCAAATGACATTTGACCAAATAGGTCTCAGTTTCCCCATCAGAAAAGCAAGAGGTTAGAGACAGGGATCTCCTAGGTTCCATTCCCCTCTACTGTCTATGTCTCTCTTTAAAGTTCTCTAATGCCAATGAGCATGAGGAGACTCCAGACAGAGCGGCCTGCCAGAGAGAATGTTCTGACAAAAAGAAAGAAATCCTATAACCTCAGGAAGCGGGATCAACAGACAGCTGCACAATTTGCACTGGGAGTAGATATCTAAAAGTCAAAACAAAAACAAAACTCTGTGTTTCTTATCCAGAATCCAAATAATCCTCCATTGCTCAAGACTATTTGAAAATTAGGCCCAGCAAGGTGGCATGTGCCTGCAGTCCCAGCTACTCCCCGTGTCTGTAGGCCGAGGCAGGAGGATCACTTGAGCCCAGGAAGTCAAGACCAGCCAGAGCAACACAGCAAGACCTTTTCTTTAAATCAAGAAAAAATTTTAATATTTTTTTAAATTTTAAAGAATATTTTTAAATTAGAAGGGATGGGTCCTTCAAGGTCCTCTAATCTCCTGCCCAGTCCAGGAATTCTCTTTTATCACCCTGCAGGTGCTCGTGTCGTTGCTTAAACACTTCCAGGAATGGGAACTACCTCTGTGTGCAAAGTTCTGCAGCGATGCGAGCAGGGACGGGTAGCATAGTTACTTAGGGGCCCCGGCATGTGTCACTGGCCCCCAGATTGCTCCCTCATGCTAGAGCCACAGTGTCTGAAATTCTACTATTAGTCGTTTATTTATTTTGCTTCCCTTTCCTCAGGTCTCTTAAAATTCAAACTTTTCTTGTAGTATTTGCTATCAAAACAAAGTGTTCATGACTTATTGGCTTCCCCCCTGTTCATGAGAACAGAAGGTCAGAGGAGGGCCCTAGGTGATTTTAAAAGGAGAGACCCTGAGGATGAGGGGAAAGGTGACAAGATACATTTTAAATATTTTACCACTATTCCACCAGACCAGATGGGAATATATATGATAAGGATAGGATGATGATGACAGAAAAAAAATAAACATGCCTACTGCCTGCCAAGTAGGCTTCTCAGCACTTCAGCTCTGACGCATTGTAAGCACATTTATAAGAACTGGGTAGTTTTTACAAGTCCCTCGTAAAAGGGACTTGTTACAATGGGACTTATATTGGGACTTGTTACAATGACTTACAATAAGCAGCTTATCTGCTCGGAGAAATCACCCCAGATCCTGAAGATCCTGGCTCCTTTCCTGCATTTCTCTTTTCTTTCCTTCTGAAACAAAGATAAATGGGTGTAGTTTTGCAAGTTTGCATAATACATTTACACATATTACATATATATTTATACACATACATACACTAAGTAGCTAGTGAGATCCATTGTTCAGGGAGTTTTCAGACCCTCTTCTTATAGGACCTATAAAAGGTAAATATGCCAAGACTCCCACCTGGTGGTTAGAATCAATAGTGAAGATTTGGGAGAAATGTACGTTTGCATTAATTAACTGGGGTGTACAGAAACCAAGCAGTCCTTATAATTAAGGTGGTCCCCGGCCCTGGAGACATCTCAGCTTTGTCAGCTCTCCCAGCCTGTGAAATAATTAGAGACACTGGTGTCATGAAGAGCAGAAATCAAAGTGAAGAAAGAAGAATAGGAAGGAAAGACGCATGACTCACGGTAAACAAAGGAACAGGACAGCGTCTCCTTCAACTGGCTCCGGTGGTTGGCTATGAGGAATTGCTGTGTGCTTAGATTTTTTGAACAATGTTGAAGGACTGTTGTTTTAGACTGGCATGACACGGTAGTGATGCCTAATTTTTTAGAAAGTTGCGAGACAGAGAGCCAGCGAGCGAGCAAGAGACAGCAAGTTCCAACAGTGCCACCTTCTGGTGGCACATTATGATGTGGTGAGACAGGCATGACCTATGTGTCGGTTCTCACGGTGGCAATTGTTACTGCATATAATACTAAAATGTGCAAGTAACTCTTACTGGCCGGGTACTATAGTAACCACAGATTGTAATCATGGACGCATCACACATGGAATTTGGGCAACCTTTTACAAGTGTCTTGCTAGACTCCTCCACAAGACTGTATCTTGGAGAACAGGGACCGTCTCTTCTGCAACTTTGGGAAACCAGTACTTGGCAGTTAGTCACTAAAAATACAAATGGCAGGAACAGAAAGGGTTGTTTCTGAATTTGTTTCTCGGTGTATTAAAATCAATTAAAATCTTATTAGCAAGCAAGACAATGTCGATATTGCAGTAGAGTTTCTGCTAGATCTGGTTTTCCCTGATATAGATCACAGAATCCGGAGCATGTCCATTGAGGCTGTGAACACCAGATGATGGCAGGAAAAATAATCAGAGTAGCTAGCACTTTACAGGAGATTGAACTTAAAGTGGCCTCAGGGATATGATTTAATGATTTCCAGCCAGGCATGGTGGCTGACTCACATCTGTAATTCTAGCACTTTGGGAGGCCGAGGGCAGGAGTTCAAGACCAGCCTGGTCAACATGGTGAAACCCCATCTCAACCAAAATTACAAAAATTAGCCAGGCATAGTGGTGGGTGCCTATAATCCCAGCTACTCAGGAGGCTGAGGCAGGAGAATTGCTTGAACCTGGGAGGCGGAGATTGCAGTGAGCCAAGACCATGCCACTGCACTCCAGCCTTGGTGACAGAGTAAGACTCTGTCTCAAAAAAAAATATATATATATATATATAAATACTGAAAAACTTTAAAGTTTCCAAAAAGAGAGACTATCTAGGACTAAGAAAGAATTAAGCGCACAGAAATGCTTCCATACATGCAGGTGGCAATCACAGAAACCTGAATGCCAAAGGGAATACAAGGCAACTGTCAGCACAAAAGTGATGCCAAAAATCAGACATTGCCTGCCTGGGATGTGTGCTCAGTGATATGATAGATGAGGACAAGAAAATCCTTTATTACAGGCAATGTGGAGTCACAGCCATTGCACAATAGCCAAACTTACAGAAAATTGACATGAATTGTAGCAAACATGGTATTACTTTATTTAGAAAGAAAGAACTCTGTTTTTATTTAAGTGCTAGCACAGGCTTTTGAGAGAGGCTGTTTATTCCCTTCTTTGAGATTTTTAAAGCAGTGCCATTCTCCCAAGATCTCCAACAACAGGCCCAGTGAACACCTGGAGTCTCTTCCAGCTTTGTAATGCAATGATTCAATCCTTGGTTCTACTCAAAGGAACACTAATTCAGTGTACCGCAATCTCATCAGAAAACTGTTATATTGAATTCCCAGTTTATGAATTCCGCGTTGGTTAAGAATCCTGTCTGTGCTGCTTCTTAGCATAAGCAAGTTCTCTAACCTCTCAGACCTATTTCTTTACCTGTCTGTAAGATGTCTTTTTCAGAGGATTGGCATGATGATTAAATGAGCTGCTCAGCACAGTGCCTAGTGCACGGCAAGCACTCAAAAGATGGAAGCTATTATTACTGAGGATTGAACGAAAAGTAAATTAAATTAAAATAAGTGCGGCCAGGTGCGGTGGCTCACGCCTGTAACCCCAGCACTTTGGGAGGCCGAGGTGGGCAGATCACAAGGTCAAGAGATCGAGACCATCCTGGCCAATATGGTGAAACCCCGTCTTTACTAAAAATACAAAAATTAGCTGGCCGTGGTGATGCATGCCTGTAGTCCCAGCTACTCGGGAGGCTGAGGCAGGAGAATCACTTGAACCCGGGAGGAGGCAGAGGTGGCAGTGAACCAAGATCGCACTATTGCACTCCAGCCTGGCAACAGAGGGAGACTCCGTCTCAAAAAAAAAAAAAAAATCCTCAGAACAATGCCCAGGCCCATAGTAAACACTAAACTTTAATGAAAATGTACAAATTGCAAATGAAGTTCTAAAGCAAAACAATTTTTTTTACCTTCATGTAGGAGATACGAGAGTAATTTGGAAAAAGCAATTCATCACTAGCTATGTTATTTTGGGTAAGTCACTGACACTTCTGAATTTCTGTTTCTTCTCTGCAAAATGTGAGTGGCAGTGGATTAGATGATCACCAATGTTTCTTCCCATTTTAAGCAGTCTGGAATTCTAAAGAATACTGGAACTTACATACACTAAAAATGTATCATATATACCATATAAAACTCTAGTTATAAACTAAGAAATAACCAGTCACTAATAATGTAAGTTGATTAAAAACGTAAAAATCACAATAGGCCTACAGTATAAGACTCCATAAACATAAAAATATTTTAATTATTTAAGGATGAATTAAATAACAAGTAACTACTAGATACAGAATTAAAGACAAAACAAAGGTGCTTTCATTTTTTATATAATTTCCTTTTCACATCCAGAGCAAGAAATTATTTTGAGCTTCTTATTCCGTAAGAATGGTATATAGTGAGCTTAAGTAATCCCAGATTCCAAATTCGAGGAATCCAAATTGATGCTATTTTACATTCAGGAGTCAGCAAACTTTTCTGCAAAGAGCCAGATAGTAAATATTTTAGGCTTACTCAACCCTTCCCTCACAGCTCAAGAGCAAAGAATGCGTACATGAATGGCTGTGGCTGCATTCCAATAAACTTTATGGACACAAATTTGAATCTCATACCATTTTCAAGTGTTAAGAAATTTTAATATTCTTTCTAATTTTTTAAATTTACCACTTAAAAATATAAAAACTATTCTTAGCTTGTAGAGTGGAAAAAAAACAAGCAGTGTGCAGCAATTAGCCCACGGGCCGTAGTTTGGCAACCCTGCTGTAATTATATATTTTGGGAAATAAAGTAGTAATGTAAGAAATCCGGAATTGGCAGAATGCCGTTGTGGGATTTTCACGGGTTGATTTGTGGATGTTTGTTTTGCTGTATTGTTTTCATCTGCCATTCCTCTAAGAGCTTCCACTACAAACTACCCACCCTTTCTCTCTCCCTGCGGCAAGGGGCCTGGGTTTAACATAGCCAAGGTAAGCCTGACACCTTGTGGTTGCATCGTGAACGGCAGGAGCTACCTGGGAAGTTAGCAGCACTGCACATCTGGGGAAGGGGAAATTCAGGAGGGAGAGGGGGCTGCCCAGCCAGTCAAGCAGCCAGTCAGCAGGTGGTGGTGGTGGCGGTGTCGGCGCCGGCGGCGGCGGTGGGTGGTGGTGGTGTTGGTGATGTCGTTGTTGTTAAAATGAGGAAGGATAAAGTCCAGAACTCACTGACTTCTCTCTCCAAAGAGAACTTCCAAAATGCTACCCATGGGGGCACTTCATCCTATTTTAAAAAATGAAGCAGCAGTGGCTGGGCTCGGTGGCTGACGCCTGTAATCCCAGTACTTTGGGAGGCCGAGGTGGGCAAATCACTTGAGGTCAGGAGTTCAAGACCAGCCTGGCCAACATGGTGAAACCCCGTCTCTACCAAAAAAAACCAAACATTAGCAAGGCATGGTGGTGGGAGCCTGTAATCCCAGCTACTTGGGAGGCTGAGGCAAGAGAATCACTTGAACCCGGGAGGCGGAGGTTCCAGTGAGCCAAGGTCTCGCCATTGCACTCCAGCCTGGGCAACAAGAGTGAAATGCCATCTCAAAAAAATTTAAAAATAAAATAAAAATTAAGCAGCAACTTCCAGAGCCTTCACAACTGAAGGCTCCATGGACACTCAGGACTTCCCTTGGTCCAGTTCCCATCTCCCACTTCTGGCCCTTAGCATCCAGGCAGGAGAAAGGGAAACGGGGCATGCTCCTCAATCCCACTCCTCCCAGATGCTTACACTCGAGAAAGAAGGAAAACTTACAGGACCTAACTGCTACTGAAAATCAGGAGTTAGCTGGCACAGCAGCTCACACCTATAATCCCAGCACTTTGGGAGGCTGAGGCGGGCAGATCACCTGAGGTCAGGAGTTGGAGACCAGCCTGTCCAAAATGGCGAAACCCCGTCTCTACTGATAATACAAAAGTTAGCCAGGTGTGGTGGTGCCCGCCTGTAGTCTCAGCTACTTGGGAGGCTGAGGCAGGATAATCTCTTGAACCTGAGAGGCAGAAGTTGCTGTGAGCCAAGATCGTGCCATTGCACTCCAGCCTGGGCAACAAAGTGAGAGTCAAAAAAAAGAAAATCAGGAGTTGTACTCTGGGAAACAGCAAATAAGGGGCTTCAAGGAGGTAAAAACCAGTCATTGAACTGTTACAACAGCCCTGAGGCAACACAGAATTGTATTCATTGCTTGCCCAGGTCAGACTGTCCCAAGCACTGTACAGGATGTCCCGAGCACTGTACACTGTGCTGGGATGAAGTGTTTTGCTTGTTTTGAGAAAAGGGTTGAAGAGACCATTGTTTCCATTCTCCTGTCCCTAGAAGTGTTTCCCCAAAACATTCTAGACTCAAGTTCCTCCTATCCTATACATCATGCAGGAAAGGAGCTTCTGCACATGTTAGGGCGGGAAGTTCATCCTTTCATCTAATTCACAGCTGTCCCTCTGTGTTTCTGAGAAAGCAAAGAGAGGGGGGATACTTAGAGGGAATTTGGCAGCACTTTCCCCTGGGCAAGAGCCTTCTCTTTGGAGGTAACAAGCCCTGAGAGTCTCGGGTGCATGCTGAACCCCCACAGCTGCGGAAAGGGGTCAGATGGACTGAACACAACCAGCGATGACCTCGACTGTCAACATCCCCAGCATAAGCACAGAGCTGGGCACCTGGGGGCAGGTGAATTGGCAAAGGATTTAAAGACCCTGATCCCAGCGGTTCCTAATGCATCACCCACATTGACAACTCAGACAGTTGGTGGGTGAGTCTAGAGTTTATGGGTAGAGAACAGGACCCTCCACCCAATCCAGACCTGTGTCATTGAGACTGGGGTGGGATGGAGTTTTGTGGTCTTGAGACCAGGTCATCCCTCTCTTCCTGAGTACTACCCCCTTCCCCAGGGGGCAGCGGTGACATGGGACAGAATGAATTCACCTCTTACACATTTGTACCTGGGGCTGTGGGCAATGCAGTGAAAGGATCTTACATGAAGTCCCGGGCAACTAGCAGTATCCAGTAGAGAAGACCCTTCTCAGGGACTGGAGGTCTGTTTCCCTCCTGGGGAAATGCTGACTTCCCAACCTCACTGCTGGTAACTTACCACTGTGCTGGCCTCTGCCCCACTTGCCCTCTAACATGGCAGTGAGAGTCCCTCTTAGGGTTAACCAGGTGGGTTGTTTTTGCTTTGTGTTTGTTTTCCCGATCTTCAGTTTGGAGTAAAAGTTAGGCAGGCTGTGCAGTAGTGATGAGAGGAGGGCATGATTTCAGCATGACCTTTTCCCCTCTCTCTGTTGTGCTTTACAATGAAAAGCTCTGGAACCTTCTCCCCACACAGTCGGATCTCCGGAGGGACTTCAGGGATCCGAACAGTGTGGGGCTCTGCAGTCGGACTCTGCAGGGATCCGAACAGGGTCGCTGAGACCAGTGCACGAGCCTCTTCCGAGGATGCATCCTGGACTCTTGGCCGCAGAGGAGGAAGCGGCTGGGGTCTCCCAT